GAGCTGAGGGTGACTACCCTTGACAATGAGGCATTATTTGATGACAGTGCGGTATGAAAAGACAAAGTAAAACCGAAGTCAAAGGAAATTGGGGCAAAAACTCTCGGCTGATTAGGGTCACACAAAGCACAAAGGATGATCATTCCAGCTGCTGTAAGGCAATCATCTTTGTCCCAGGACATACTGTAGGAGTGCTCACAACATTGCTTGAGGACCAACTGCATCATCACTGATCTTCGCTTCATCATATGGTCAGAAGTGGGGATTTTCATAGATGACTACATAATGTTCAATTGTCACATTTGCTCAGATGCGCATGAATGTATGAAGGTGATGGATGCTTTTTTTTAAGTTTTAAAAAGAACAGCATAGCATCTGAGATAACAAGGTGTAGAGCTGGATGAACACAGCAGGCCAAGCAGCATCAGAGGAGCAGGCAAGCTGACGTTTCAGGTCTGGACCCTTCTTCAGAAAAAGCATAGCATCTGGACAAGTTTTCTTTATCCAAGATGGTCACTAAGAATCATGTGACTTTTATTTAATTTGCACAAAGCATTAACTCATGTCTGAGGATGCTTTCAGAAAGTTCTTCAAATGTAAGTGACCAGGGGTGCGTTGCCCTCTTGAGTGGCCATATCATGACAAAAACCAAGAAAATAGCCTGGAGCCCAACTTCTTCTTATTTTTGAAAGGCAAGTGTAAGGTGTTGTGTTCCAGATGCAATTTAATTTATTAGACTACCAAGCTTGAAGTAAAACACATTTTATTCTTACTCTACAGATAAAATACAAATGAAAGAAAGAACTTAACAGAATAGATTATTTAACTACTAAACAGCAGCTGTTCCAATATAGTAACATTCCATGTACACACCATTAGCAAAGGGAAATTCAATAAAATAGATTGTCTCACATGCAATTCTCGCAGCAGGAAGAGAACCTAAGCTTTTAGCTGTAACAGAGAGAGGAATAACAGCTTCCACATCCAACTTCAAGACTTCAGCAACTGCTGTAAGTTAAACTAGTAGGGGCTTGACTCCACCTGTACCAGTGTCAACCTCACTTCATGAGAAAAAAAAGGACAAAATACACCCTTTAAAGCCAATGTATCATCGTAGGAACAAAAAGAACAGCTAAACTATCATATACTCGAGTTTCACTGCCACAATTCAAGGACTCTGAGAAGATTGAACTGCATCTGTTTATACATCTTCCGGCTAGATACCCTTCCTTTTTTAAATTTATTCCTCATGTTTGTGTGTGTGTATGATGTTAAATTTTTATTACTGTTTGGGAATAGTAGGGAATGAAGTTTCCTCAGTTTTTGTAATCAACCTGTCCGTACCTCTGGCACAGGTGGGACTTGAACCCAGGTCTCCTTGCTCAGAGGTAAAGATACTATCACTGCACCACAAGAGTCCTTCCCTTTCTTTCCCTCATTTAAAAGATCTTGGTAATTGGCTCCTTCATTTTCAAGTGAACTATGTTTTAAATTGAAATGTGATAGCTGCTTGCTAAAAAAAAATGAAAAGATTTGTTTATATCAACTGAAAGTAGGTCAACAAGAGGAGAACCAATCCTGCTCCTCACCTGGTCACAACAGTAGGCAAAGAGGTATGATCATGTGACCAAAACCTATTTCCCCACCCCTCCCTCAAGGACTAGTGGAAACCAGCCAGCCTGGAAACCAAAAGGACAACAGAGACAATTCTTCCAGCAAAAAGAACAGAGAACCTTGCATAACATCCAGTTATGTTAGGCTATGTGAGCAGGATTAATTTGTTTACACCTGCAACAATTCGTCTCTACAGAAACTTAACCATGGCCTCAACTGAAATTCTTGCTACTTCCAAATTCCAATCTTTCTCAAAGAGCCATGAGAAAGAATTCATCCACACTTGCGCTTTGTTACACATTAGAGGTCTCAATCAGTATGATTTTCTTTTTACATATTAATATGTAATCCAGCTACATGACTTGATCACTAGAAACCATCTTTACATGCACGTTGGTATTATGTGCACGTGCGCATATGCACATTAAGGACTGACAGTGCTTCTGGGCTCAAAATATATGTAATCTTTTTTTAAAAGGTTTTTCTTGAAGGCTACGATTTTAATCTCACCAACTCCATTAGGTCATGCAGTCACTTAGGAAATACAACTTCTGAATGCATGTTGATGGTGGGGTGAGGAGGAGATTTAGAGTCTCAGAGAAATGGAATTAGAAGAATTCATCAATATCCCCAATAATTATCATCATGTCACTAAACTTGAAGCCTCAACACACAAGGAAAACATTATATTCCTAGACACAGTATTTACACAGGCACAATACAACAGTCTTAAATTAGCAATAAATCTATCTTTGTAAACAAAACTACCAGTACACTTCTATACACTAAAAGCCAACAACCAAAAACACATTCTCCATGGACTAGTGAGATCCGTGGTATGTTTGTCTCTAACCAAGTTACCACACCTCAACTAATTCATAGCAGGTAAGACACTACGACATCTGTTAACACATGCAAATCTTTAGGAAATAAAACTGTTCAATATTATACAATTGACAGTGTTATAATCGCATCCACTTTTTCCTTCACAGGTATTACCAAACTGACAGATTTCACACAAAGACTCCACATTAGCAAGGACTCCATTGTCTTAGTTTTCTTGCTCCCTGTTAGGCGAATATTCCTTTGTTGAGAAGTTGAAAACTGATATATGTTTCAGTGTGTACAAGATGATGAGACGCATAGATAGAGTGGATAGCCAGAGACGTTTTCCCAGGGTGGGAATGATTATTACAAGGGGGCATAATTTTAAGGTGATTGGAGGAAGGTATAGGGGAGATGTCAGAGGTAGGCTCTTCACACAGAGTGGTGGGCGTGTGGAATGCGCTGCCAGCAGTGGTAGCAGAGTCAGATACTTTAGAGACTTTTAAGCAACTCTTGGATAGGCGCATGGATGCTAGTATAATGTAGGGTATTTGATCTTAGTAGGATAATAGGTCGGTACAACGTCATGGGCCGAAGGGCCTGTACTGTGCTGTACTGTTCTATGTTTCCTTCCAGACCTTTACCATTTTCTCCTAACAAACAAAATGTATAATAGGGATCCTGTACCTGTAGTATATCTGGACTTCCAGGGGCATTCGATGGGGTGCTGCACAAAGAGTTAATACACAAGGTATGATCACATGAGATTCGGCAAATTTATTAGCTTTGCTAAAGGATTGGCCAACCAATAGAAAGCAAGAGTCAGAATCACTTGGTCTTTTTCTGGTTGGTAGGATGTATCTATTGGGGTGGCACAGGTTTCATTCCTCAGGCCCAAACTATTCACAATCTGTATTAATGACCTGAATGACTAGCCCTGCCCTTAGCGCTTATGCTCTTTACAGCCCAAACTCAGACCTTTCTCCCTGAATTCAGTGGCACATTAGATCACAGCGAAACAATCAGCAGCAAATGCAGAAACAACTAGCTGGTGATTAGCAGAGCAGGTTCTCACCAATCCCTTCTATTATAGTAGTAGCAACTTTTCTGACTGTTCACCCCCACCAGCAGATTTTCCACAGCAATTTGACGGCTTCATTCAGCTGCCGCTTCCAGTATATTTTAAGCATTGGCGATTTTGGTGCAGTTATAATTCTGGAACATTTTTGTGCATCTTTTAAACAATGTTTAACAATATTTATCTTACCTTGCCATTGAAAAAATACCCAAAACCTGCTTCATGTTTATTGCTGAATATCAATAACACACCAAAGAAACAGACATCAAGTTGTGGACCCCAAGATGTCCATTACATGTACCACTAACAGACCGCTTCATATTCTGAGGAATTCCATCCAAGTGCAGAAAGAAATAGATGTTCAGGCTTAAGTGCCAAATAACATTCACAAAGCACAACTGTCAAGCAATGGTTATTTCCAACAATACAGAATCTAAACATTTTTCCTTGAACAGTAATACAATCACCAACTCCCCCATCATCAATCTAGGGGCTACCACTGACTAGAAATTAAACTGAACTAGCCATATAAATATCATGCTTAAATGCAGGTCAGAGGCTGGGAATTCTGTGGTAACTCATCTCCCAATTCCCCAAACCCTGTCCATCATATACAAGGAACAAGTGTGATAGAATACTCTCTACTCACCTGAATGGCGGCAACTCCAACAACACTTCAGATATTGACACATACCAGGATAAAGCAGCCAACTTGATTGGACATCATCTTAAACATTCACTTCCCCCACCACAAATGCACACTGGCATTGGTGTATTCCATCTACAAGATGCATTGCAGCTACTCACCAAGGCTCCCTAGAACAATGTCTTCCGAATCAGTAACATCTACCTTTGAGCAAGAAAGGCATGGGGCAGCAGATGCATCATAACCTGCAAGATTCTAATCCCCACAACTCTTCCAGACATCAAATCTCACATCTTTCTCAGCTGAAATTAAATCAGTGCTCAACCATCTCTGGGTCACAATTCTAGAACTCCATTCCTAACTTCACTGTGGGTGTCTATCTACACAATGCCGATTGGAGCAGTTCAAGAAGGCAATTTGCCACCCTGCCTTCAAAGGCAATTAGGAATGGACAACAAATACAGGCCTTGTCAGCAATGCTCACAGCCCAGGAATTAACATTTAAAAGAACATAATGCACATTGTTCAATCTATTTTTCTATTCAACCTGTTCAAAGATGTTGTTACACACCTTTGGGTCAGGTGGTGCTTGAACTCGGACATCGCAGTCCATGGATAGAGACACTACCAGTGCACCACAAGAGGGCACTGCACATTTTTCAATACTGCATAAAATAGATAGAACAATTGATAGGCATTGCTGGAGTTTTGTTGCTACAGGTGTGACATTGACTCTTTAGAAAGTGCTGTTTCAGGAACTGAGAGAAAGTAATAAGGATTCTTTCAATCAAATGAAAATCAAAATTAATTAACTTTAAAGATTTCTCCTCATCTTACCTGGCAGCACTGTGGTAATGACTTCAGAAAGAAATAAAACCAAAGTCCTATCTTGCAAGGCAACAGGTCCTGCCATTGAGGCTTTACAACAGATCTGCAGGATAGGCACAATAAAACAGAATACAAATTACTCCATTCAAAGTAATTCCTTTAAGTGAAATTTAATGCAACTCAAGCTTATGTTCATCTGTTTCTGGCTGAGGGGGCAACCTCCTAGCCTGTTAGTTTGGCAAACTGCCTTCTTACCTCATACATCAGATGCAAAAGACAACAGTAATCGAATAAAAGTTGTTGACCTTAAGAAGATGACGAGAATGGCCACAGTGAAAGTCCAACATTTCTCCACAGATGATGGATATCTAAAGTCTTACGCACTTAATCGTAAGGTCCTGGGGAGTGTTGCTGAACAAAGAGACCTTGGAGTACAGGTTCATAGTTCCTTGAAGGTGGAGTCACAGAGAGACAGGGTAGTGAAGAAAGCATTTGGTATGTTTGCCTTTAAATGGTCAGTGCTTTGAGTATACAAGGTGGGATGTCATGTTGCGGCTGTACAGGACATTGGTTAGGCCACTTTTGGAATACTGTATTCAATTCTGGTCTCCCTGCTACAGGAAGAGTGGTGTGAAACTTGAAGGGGTTCAGAAAAGATTTACATGGATGTTGCATGAGTTGGAGGGTTTCAGTTGTAGAGAGAAGCTGAATAGGTTGGTGCTATTTTCCCTGGAGTGTCAGAGGCTGAAGGCTGACCTTAAACAGGTTTATAAAATCCGAGGCATGGATAGGGTGAATAGTCAGAGGCTATGAATTATGTGGTGAATAACTTGTAGATGGCACTGGGGAGCAGGATACAAAGGACAAGTTAGGACTGTAATGGAATACTCTCAACTTGCCTTGATGAGTAGAGCTCCAACAACATCCAAGAAATTTGACTCCAGCTCAACTGGAATGTCATTTACCTCCTTCAATACTGATGCATGGTGGCGGCAGTATATACCATACAGGAAATTCACTACAGCAACACTCAATATCCCCTTCAACAGCACCTTCCAAACTCATGATCTCTACCTGCTAGAAGGACAAGGGGAGGCGGTACATTGCAGCAACACGATCTGCAAGCTCCCCTTTAAGACACACTCTATCCTGATTTGGAACTGTATCACTATTCCTTTCGTGTCACTAGGTCAAAATCTTGGAACTCCCTTTCCATCAGTATTGAGGGTATACATGTACCAGATAAACTGCAGAAAGTGGCTCATCACCTTTTCAATTAGCAATTATAGAATGAGCAACACATATGTTTTGCCAGTAATCCTGACACCTCACGAAAGAAAAAACAAAGGATGACACGTCAGGTTCAGGAGGGGTACATCAGTCTGAGTTGTCTCCAGTTTCCTCTTTTGAAGTCCATCTATGTGGATGTGGATTGAAGTCAGCATCAAGCTGAGCTGTCACACAATCTACAATTGTATAACTTGTCAGTGCTTACTGTGGAAGCTTACATATGAATAATGGCCACTGGTACCTACAAAATTGTACTTCAAGTTATCAGACATAGGAATAGACCTCTCATACATTAGAGTTGATCTTTCTCTGCACCTTCTCTGTAGCTGTAACACTATATTCTGCAATCTGTTCAATTGCCCTGATGCACTTACATAAGATATGATTTGTCTGGTTAGCACACAAAAACAATACTATATCTCGGTACATGCCACAACAATAAATTAAATCAAATAAATATACTTAATAATACAAATTCCAAAAAAGATACTATGCAGCCACTTAACGTGCATATCTCTGGTTGTGTGAAATAAACTTGCATTTTTTTTTTTTAAATTAATACTCCACTTCCTATTTTCTTATTACCAGTTCACCATCTACGACGTGCAATTCAGGAGTATGACGATTATTCTTCACTTGACTGGATGGTTGCAGTTCTAAGTAGCACTCAAGAAGCTCAACATCATCCAGGGAGCCACTTCGGATGGTACCACATCCACCACATTTAACATTCAGCTCCCTCACCATCAACAGACAGTGGCAGCATTGTGTACCATCTACAAAATGCACTGCAATAACTCACCAGGACTTCTTTGACAACACCTTCCAAACCCACAACATCAACCATTTAAAGGACATGGGTAACAGATGCATGGAAACAGTCACATACAAGTTCCCCTCTAAGCCAAACAGCATTCTCATTTGGAACTGTACCACCATTCCTTGATTGTCACAGGATCGAAGTCCTGGAGCTCCCTTCTTCATGAGCTATGGGTGAGCCTACATCCCATGGACAGCAGCAATTCAAAATGGCAACTCAGTACCATCTTTTCCAAGGCGATTATGGATGCATGATAAATGCTGACCTAACCAGTTATGCCCACATCCCATGAATAAATAAAAAAGTACACCAGTTTACTTCAATACCCTCTTTTTTTTTAGTCTTAATTTAGTCTTAATTTTATTTAGCTGAAAATAACATTTTCAGAAAACAACCAAGTAAGCTTGAAGACACAATGAATCGGTCATGAACTAAAAGACAGTAGACATGACAGATGGAAGCAGAAAATGTGTGATGTGGAAACTGGGAAAGGCTGGCAACGTGGGGACTAGGGAAACAAGAAAATGATAACCTCACCTGAAAAGGATTAGACAAAAGTGACACTATCCAGAGGATTTTTAACATTCTTCACACTCATTTATGAAGTTTACAAATTATACCTTCATGCTACAAAAAAAAAACACACGTCACCCCGTTTCTGGGCTAATGATGTTTATCAATATAAACCTACAAAAGATACTTTTAGATATTATGTAGGAATTTAATATCAATTTTATTTTCAATTATGAACAACAATTATTGGCAATAATACTTTATTCTTTTTACTATTATTTTTTAAATCAGTTTTCAAGAAACTTCGCTGCCAAACATTTAGGTATTTTGCAGTGTTACCTCTCATTCTTCTCAAGAACACCAGCTTTTCCTTCATCCGAAGATTTACCACTTGCTTTTTTCTTTTTCTCTCTCTTCTTTCTAGTAAGAAGGTCATCCTGAAAAGACAAATAAGGTTACAGGTGACTGCCAAATATTTTTTATACAGACTGCTACGAGGATCTGATCAAGAAATATCAGTTGTTCTCTGCAACCGTATTGCTCTGAAAGTCATCTAACAATATCATCTGTTGCCATAGTATTAAGTTCAGTGTTTCTCAAACATGTGATTAAACATCAGCTGTCAGTCATCCACAATTCCACAGCAGTCAATGCCTCCCAGAATGGAAACAATTCAACTCTCTTTCTCTCAGCCCTATCTGAGTCCCACCTCTGACACCATTATAAATACTACTCAAATCAGGAATCACCAGATTTAGCACAACAATAAGTAATGGCTAAATCACATTTGCAGATCTGTAAAAAGTTCTAATTTTGCAGCTGGACAACTGATTAATATCTGTTTTGTGCAAGATGAGAAAGTAAAAATCCATACAATGACAGAGATAAATACTCTAGTGGTTGCACTTTGAGCACCTATTCAAAAATCTTCCAGTTAAAACTGTCAAGAGCAAGCATTAAGAATAGTTACCACAATTAAAAACAGCTTAAGTGAAACTGCTCTGTTACTAATTGAATCAGGGTTAGAATGACATTCATGAACCAGTCAATGCTAAATGCTACTACACAAATTATTAAGTCATCTAACATGTGTAATGCTTCAATGTCATTAGGCAATTTTTAGAACTCTAACAGATTTGTCTTCATTTGAGCCCTAAATACTACCTAGTGGGACCTGGGTTTCCAAATTCAACTCATAATTATCTAAAATAAGAATACTTGCTTATTGTTTTGGAACGTAGATGAATTGTTATTTTTGTAACAATATAGCAACATCGTGTTGGGTGGCGCTGCCACTGTGCTGCTACAGATATTTAACTTTACAAGAAATAACATGGATGTTGAGAAACAAAATGCTGTCATCCAAAACACAGCTATATTTATTTGTGCATGTACACTGTACCCATTTGCTTCAACTCATATGTTTTTGAGAGTGACTCTTAAGTGTAATTACCAAGGATATTTGCACCACTTTAATATTGAGTGAGAAACATTGTTTTATTCATTGGTCTTTCATGATGTCCTGCTGAGTTCAGTTAATAAATACTTTAAAGCTATTCTGAAGCTGGAACACTTTGAAGAAACATAATGCAGTAGGTAACTATTTGAATCTAAATAAAATTGGTTTTAATTAGAAAATATTCTTCATTTCCATCAACGAAAACCTGTGCCCTGGACATAGTGTAATCAGGCATCAAGAGTCACTAAGATGTACATTCAAAACAACAGAATGGTTTTCGTTTCTGGTACATTTTAATATTTAAAAAGAAATCTCCTCACACTAATGACTCCAGCAGCTCAGTTTCTAATGTTTTTTGACTAGCATCCAAAGCTAGCTCTCATTTAACGTCTTTTTAATCCATTCACAAGATGACGGTGTCGCTGGCTAGGCCCATCCCTAATTGCCCGAATGGCAGTTAACAGTCAACCACACTGCAGTGGGTCTAGAGTCACATGTCAACCAGACCAGGTTAAGGATGGCAGATTTCCTTCCCAGATGAACCAGATGGGGTTCCCCCCGGCCCCGATAATTGGCAATGGATTCATGGCCATCACTGGACTCTTAATTCCAGATTTTTTTTTTTATTAGACCCTGCCATGGCAGAATGTGAACCCAGATCCCCAGAACATTACCTTTGTTTCTGGATTAACAATGCTGTGATCATACCACCGCTCTCCAGTTGAATCTTAAATTGTTTGCACATTCTGCCATACTGCAAATTAGGAGGAGCTTCAAAGTAGGAAATAAATAAGTAGAAGTTTTCAAATTTTCTTTGGAAAACAAAATGGCTAACAAACGTAGCAAACTTTACTTGTTAAAACTCGTCGAGCCACCTTCAAAAGGGGGCTTCAAAAGCCACACTGAAGGAGCGAATGCTTGAGAACACTACTGCTAGCAAGTTCTACTCTTAAGTCACAAATCACACTGATCTGAAACTATATTGTCATTTCATCAGTTACACCGGGTCACAAACTTGGAAATCCCATCCTAAGTGCATTGACAGTACCAATACCGCATGGACAAAACAATTCACCAACATGTTCTCGAGAGCAATAAATTCTGGTCTGGCCAACAATGCTCACAATCCATGAAGAAATTTAAAAAAAAACTCAATGAGGATAATTAGCATAATAAAACAAAAATTTCTAATGACAAATCTTCTCTCAAAATAATGTTCAATTGTTTATTTGCAAGCTGAAGTTTATTGCAGCTCTAGCACAAATTGCAGTGTATGTGTTCATCATTACAACAGTGTCCAGTGCAACAGGATATAAGGAACCAGTCAAGCCCAGGAAACCGGACAGTTCAGTCAAAGTTATACGCTATGTCAAGAACAATGACTAAAAAGAAGTATTTAAAATAATTTTCTTTATCAATATACTTCAACTCTGTTTCTCCCACCTCACTTAGATTGAAAAATTCCCAAAACAGTATTGAAACATTTACAGCAATAAAGGATGCAAACAAAAATACAGGTTTACAACAGGATTAAGTCATTCATTTCAGCAGACAATATTTTGAGAATCTCACCGAAGGCAGGAGTTAGGGAATGGCTTGGGCTACCCTGATGTTTCATGGTCCCCCAAGCCAAATAGAAGAGGAAGACAGTATTTGATTTGAAGGTCACAACTTTTCGGTTCGACTGGCTCCATCCTCTCACCTAAAACTGACTGATCAGTAACGCTTGAACAGCTCTGAATAACCTATTCAAAACCTCAAGCCTTTTCTCTATCACTAGGCAGGATTGAATTTGGCAACAATTTGGAAATATTTGTTCCTAGTTGTCACAATTCATATGGCACTTACCTAGATCAAATAGATACAGAGGACTGTAGTGGCTGAGTCATTAAGGATAGCCAAGGATGGGATAAACAGATTTCTAATCAACAAGGGAATGAAGAGTTATGCCGAAATGGCAAGAAAGGGGAATTGAGTATTGTCAGATCGGGTATGATATCAATCAATGGTGGAGCTGACCTATGGGCCAAATGGTCTGCTTCTGCCCCTACATCTTATGTCCTTACAAACAATCAATTGGTCAAACTGTTATAAAGTAAAACAAACACACATTCCTACTAAAAATTAAAGTTAAAATTCCAGAAGGAAATTTGTAAATCGATGTCCATCTGCTACAACTTCCTACAATGGATATTCATAGAACCATATAAAAGCTTAAATAGAGTATTTAAACAATGGGATAAAATCCATAAAGGTTGATAATGTGACATTTTACTATTGCAGATTAATAATGCTAATATTCTAAAAGATATAAAAGTCAACAATATTTTTCACCAAAGCTCTTCTGTATTTACATCAACTTACCAGTTGCTTCTCAAAGTATATCGACCAAACCACTGCATAATGGCCCACGGTCAGAATAATAAAGAGAAGCAAAGAAAGCTCAACGTTACTCATCTTTCTCACTCTCCGGTAGTAGAAAACAGGCTGTCGCCAATCTGGCAGACCATTTTTCAAAACTTCATCATATCTGTAAACAGAGAAAAAAAAAAGAAAAGAGACTTGTGGACTGAAAATATTATCTCTGTCATAATTTCCAAAACAATTACAATTACAATCACTTTATAATCAAGTTTCTTTTCCAAACTGAAAAGCTATATTCCATTCACCTCTTAAGGATTTCATCCAAAAGATCACCTTTTATTCTAAAATTTATTATCGCGGCACTAATTGTTTAGTGCCACTAATATATTATTGTTATGGAAGTTAATCGCTACATTTAACACAAGTTCTACATACTGTTATTTACAAAAGGAAAATCATGTAAATTTCATTAAAAATCGAATCAGTGGGGAATAAGAAAATGCTCATTTATTCCACAAGTGAAGAAAGCCTTATAAAATTCTCACAATACATTACGATGTCAGAAGAAATAAAATGGAGAAGCTCTGGTTTCTGGGCATATTGTTGCACAAGCAAAATACAGATGGTTTAAATCTAAACTCTGGCAAGACGGTGAACGTGTTGCTCTATGGATACGGTTCTTCCCATTAAATCCCAAATTCTTGAGGATGACTAATGATAAATGAGTCTGCAACTCCTGGTCATGCATGTGCACTTCCTAGTGGCTGGACGAAGAACAGCATGATCTAATATGTTGGAGCAAATTACATATCCAACAAATTTCTGTTCGGGGTGATAGAACATACACCCTGAAAAGTATTCTTTTTAAACTGAACTCAAATATTCAAAAGGTAGAAATTATTATCAGCAGATCTTCCATGACATTACAGAAGACAAGTCTGTGTGTCAGGTATTTCATGACAGGCAAGATGCAATATACTTCATCACCCACAGCTTTGTACATTTATAAATTCAAACACAATTTGCCTTACAGATGACACAAAGATAGGTGGTGGGACAAGTAATATTGAGAAAGCAGGAAGACTGAGGAAGGGTTTCTGAAGAAGGGGCTAGGCCCGAAACGTCAGCTTTCCTGCTCCTCTGATGCTGCTTGGCCTGCTGTGTTCATCCAGCTCTACACCGTGTTATCTCAGACGGAGGAAGGGCTTGGTCAGGATAGGAGAGTGGACAAAGAAACGACAGCAGAAATACAATGTTTAAAGTGTGAAGTTACACACTTTGGTGGGAAGGATCAGGGGTAGACCAGTTTCTACATAGGGAAAGGTTTCAGAAATCTGAAGCACAAATAGACTTGGGAGTCCTAGCTCAGGATTCTTACGGTTAACATTCAGCTAGGAAGGCAAATGCAATGTTAACATTCATTTCAAGAGCAGAGATGTCCTGCTGACAGCGTAGAAGTCTCTGGTCAGACCGTATTTGGAATACAGAGAGTTGTTTGTGCCCTGCATCTAAGGAAGGTTATGCTGGCATTGGAGGGGGTCAAGATGACATTTACAAAAATGAAGGGCTTATCACACGACGTGCAGTTGAGGATTCCAGGTTTGTATTCAATGGAGTTTAAAAGGATGGGGGGAGTCTGACTGAAACTTACAGAATACTGAGGGGCCTGGATAAAGCAGAAATGGAGAGATGCTTCCACTACCAGGACAGACTAGGAGCGGATGGCACACAGTCTCAGAATGAAGGGATAAGACCATAAGACATAGGAGCAGAAATTACGCCGTTCAGCCTATCGAATCTGCTCTGCCATTCAATCATGGCTGATAAGTTTCTCAACCCCATTTCCCCGCTTTCTCCCCGTAACCCTTGATCCCCTTGACAATCAAGAACCTATCTATCTCCATCTTAAATACACTTAATGACCTGGCCTCCACAGCCTTTTCAGGCAGTGAGTTCCATAGATTCACCATTCTCTGGCTGAAGAAGTTTCTCCTTATCTCTGTTCTAAAAGGTCTTCCCTTTCCTCGAAGGCTGTGCCCTCAGGTCCTGGTCTCTCCCACCAATGGAAACATCTTCCCAAAATCCACTCTGTCCACGCCATTCAGTATTCTGGAAGCTTCAGTTAGATCCCCCTCATCCTTCTAAACTCCAATGAGTATAGACCCAGAGTCCTCAAACGTTCCTCATATGTTAAGCTTTTCATTCCTGAGACCATTGTCATGAACTTCCTCTGAACCCGCTCCAGGGCCAGTACATCTTTCCTAAGATATAGGGCCCAAAACTGCGCACAATACTCCGAATGTGGCCTGACCAGAGCCTTATAGAGCCTCAGAAGTACATTCCTGCTTTTATATTCAAGTCCTCTCAAAATAGATGCCCAACATTGCATTTGCCTTCCTGACTACTGACTCAACCTGCGAGTTTACCTTGAAAGAATCCTGGTCTAGAATTCCCAAGTCTCTTTGCACTTCAGACTTCTGAATTTTCTCTCCATTTTTCTCCATACCTCTATTCTTTTACCAAAGTGCATGACCTCTCACTTTCACTCCATCTGGCACTTCTTTGCCCATTCTCCTAACCTGTCCAAATCCTTCTGCAGCTTCCCTACCTCCTCAATACTACCCATTCCTCTATCTTTGCAAACTCAGTCAGAATGCCCTCCATTCCTTCATCTAGATCATTAATGTATAAAGTGAAAAGTTGTGGTCCCAAAACTGACCCTTTTTCATCACCACTTGTCACCAGCTGCCATCCTGAGAAAGATCCTTTTAATCCCACTCTGCTTTCTGCCAGACAGCCAATCTTCTATCCTTGATAGCACCTTGCCTCTAACACCATGGGCCCTTGTCTTACTCAGCAGTCTACTTGGCGGCACCTTGTCAAAGGCTTTCTTGAAGTCCAGGTAAATAACATCTTTTGGCTCTTCTTGGTTTAACCCGCTCATTACTTTCTCAAAGAACTCTAGCAGATTTGTCAGGCATGTCCTCCCCTTGATGAAATCATGCTGACTTTGTCCTATTTTGCCATACACTTCCAAGTATTCAGAAATCTCATCCTTCACAATGGACTCCAAAATCTTACCCACGACCGAGGTTAGGCTAATCGGCCTGTAATTCTCCATCCTTGCTTACTCACTTTTTCAACAGGAGTGCACTTTAGCATTTTTCCAGTCCTCTGGGACCCTCCCTGATTCTAGCGGTTCCTGAAAGATCACTACTAATGTCTCCACTATCTTCAGCTAACTCCTTAAGAACTCGAGAGTGTAGTCCATCTGGCCCTAGCGATTTATCTACCTTCAGGCCATTCAGTTTTTCTAGCACCTTTCTCCTTGGTGATGCCCACCATACTCAGCTCTCCCGTCTGTCTCTCTTGAATTTTTGGGATATTACTTGTGTCTTCCACTGTGAAGACTAATGCAAAATAATTATTCAGTTCCTCAGCCATTTCCTTGTTCCCCACTACTATCTCTCCAGCATCATTTTCCACAGCTCCCATGTCCACTTTTGCCTCTCTTTTGCCCTTCATATATCTAACGAACCTCTTGCAGTCTTCCTTTATATTACTGGCTAGCTTACCTTCATATATAATCTTCTCCCTCCTTATTTCTTTTTCTTTGTTGCCCTCTTTTAGTCTTTGTAAGCTTCCCAATCCTCTGACTTCTCACTGTCCTTCACCATATTGTATGCTTTCTCTTTTGCTTTTATGCTGTCACTGACTTCCCTCATCAGCCATGGTTATCTCATCGTCGCTGTACCAAGCTTCTTTTTCCTGGGGGTGAATTTTTGCTGTGTCTTCTGAATTACTCCTAGAAACTCCTCCATTGCTGTTCCACTGTTTTTCCTGCTAGGCTTCTCTCCCAGTCAATTCCGTTACCTCTGATTCTATTGTCTCCTTCTCAAATTGCAGAGTAAATTCAATCATATTATAATCACTGCCTCCTAAGGGTTCCTTCACCTTTAGCTCCCTTATCAAGTCTGCCTCATTGCACAACACTAAATCCATAGTTGCCTGTTCCCTAGTGGGTCCACCACAAGCTGCTCCAAAAAGCCATCTTGTAGACATTCCACAAATTCCTTTCTTGCAATTCACTACCAACCTGATTTTCCCAGTCCACCTGCATATTGAAATCCCCATGATCACTGTTAGCTTGCCTCTCATACACACCTTTTCTATCTCCTGGTATATCTTGCGCCCCAGCTCCTGACCACTGTTTGGAAGCCTGTATATTAATCCAACTATGGTTTTGTTCTAACCTTTGCAGTTCCTCAATTCTACCCACACAGATTGAACACCATCTGACCCTACTTCGTTTCTTACTATTGATTTAATTTCATTTCTTACTCATAAGGCAATCCCACCCCCTCTGCCCACCTGCCTATCTTTTTGATAAGATGTATATCCTTGGATATTCAGCTCCCAAACCTGATTCCCTTGCAGCCATCTCTCCATGATGCCCACCACATCATACTAGCCAATTTTGATCTGCGCCACAAGCCCATTTACCTTCTTTCTTATACTGTGTGCATTCACATACGACACCTTCAATCCTGTATTAACCATCCCTCTTCTCACTGTCATTCGTTTATCCAGTGTGCTTGAAGTTTGATTCCTAACCCTTTCCAAACACTCTGTCTTATTTACGTCTGTGCTAGAGACTTCAATAACCTCTCCGGAGTCATTTCTTTCATATTTTCCATGCAGTTGAATCCACCCTTACACATGTTAATCTGCTGCTTTGTTCCCTACTGGGGACATTTTATCTTTCCCTTCCCCCAGCCCATTTTCCAGTTTTTTAAAGTCCTGTTGACCAGCCTATTTACCCTTTTCGCTAAAACATTGGTCACAGCTTGATTCAGGTGGAGACCATCCCAACAGTACAGATCCCTCCTGTTCCAATACTGATGCCTGTGCCCCATGAAAAGGAACCCCTATTTCCCACACCATCCTTTTAGCCAAGTGTCTACTTCCCTTGTTCTGGTGTCCCTAAGCCAATCTGCATGTGGCTCGGGTAGTAATCCGGAGATAATAACCCTTGAGTACCTGTTCTTTAATTTGGTTCATAGCTCCTGATAATCCCTGAACAGATCCTCTTGCCTAGTCTTGCCTACATTGTTTGTTCTGACATGGACCACAACAACTGGATCCTCCCCATCCCTCTCCCTCTCCAATATCTTTTCAAGCCGGTCAGAGGTATCCCTTACCCTGGCGCCGGGCAGGCAACACACCATACAGGACTCTCAATACTGTTTACAAAGGATACTATCTATTCCCCTACAACAACC